AAAAAAAAAAAAAAAAAAAAAAAAAAAAAAAAAAAAAACCAAACAAAAAAAAAAAAAAAAAAAAAAAAAAAAAATATAAAAAAAAAAAAAAAAAAAAAAAAAAAAAAAAAAAAGTAAGAGAAAATCAGTCCATGTAATGAACTGGATGTGTTATAGTCGAGGTTCTCAGCCCTGGGCTGTTGGGAGAGTCCTGCTGTGAGGCCCACTGAAGACTGAGCAGGCCGGGGCCCTAGGTCCCTAACGTGGAGGCCCTGGTTCTGAAGGCCACCAGCCTAAGGGCCACACACAGCCACGGAGCTCAGGTATTCCTGCAGAGCAGTGGACATGTCCTGGCTCTTCTCCCAAGAGTCCCGTCCCTCTGTCAGGTGCGCCTGTGGGTTCTTTGGTGGGGACATGCTCAGCTTGCCCAGGGGCTGCTGCCAACTGCCCAGGAATCCTGGCAGGTGGGAGGTCTTGGCTGCTCCTTGATAGGATGGCTCACCCCCCTCCACAGACTTGCTCATGAAGCAGCTGTCCCTCAGTCGTGACCTTGAGCCAGACACTCTCCCTGCAGATGCTGGAACACCTCTGCCCTCCTCAGAAGAGACTCTGTCTGAGCGCGTGACCCACAGCTCAGGGCCTGCTAAGTGACTGGCTGTTTTGTTTTGTCCTTGGTCATGTGCCGTTTTAGGTGCAGGAAACCAGCAAGCCACATGCAGCCCCCACGTTCATCATAACAGGAAGGAAAAGGTCTCTGGAGCTGCAAACCCGGTAGGCTCGGCTGTCGGCTCTGCTGCGTGTAAATGGAATGTCTTTGACCAGGAATTTTAGTAGACGGCGTCTTTTTTTAATCCTCCCTGAGGATATGATTTTCCCCCCATTGCTTTTCAGAGAGAGTGGAAGGGAGAGAGAGAGAGAGAAACATCAATGTGAGGGAGACACATCGAGTGTTGCCTCCCGCACAAGGCCCAGCCGAGACCAGGGATGGAGCCTGCAATGGGGGTGCATGTCCTTGGCCGGAATCGAACCTGAGACCCTTCGCCTTTCGGTCAGCGGGCTGATGCTCTAACAACTTGAGCCAAACCGGCCAGGGCTGGCTTCTTTTTCTAAACCGATGACCTTGCTGTGTGTTTTTATTTATTCATTGTATTCACTTATTTATAGTTTAAAACATAACAGATAAGGGGAGTCCGTGAACGTTAAGCCTCTGCCTGCCTGTTTCCCTGGCAGCTGACCTTCCTAACCAGCCGTAAATATCCTTCAGAATTTCTGTGCTCATACATCTGTATCATTTTTAAAATCACAGGTGGCTGTTTACTGTATTGCTTTTTTTTACTGAATTTGCCAGAAATCATCTTAATCCGAGCACCACGTCCTAAAGTAGGGCAGTTCTTCAGTGTGGTCTCTGGCCGCCTCTCACTGGCGACCTGGGTTCGCCAGGGTCTTGCCGCAGCAAAGCCAGCAGGGCTGCGCGCAGTGTCTCTCAGATGGGTCCCTGATGCAGGAGTGCTGCCCAGAGGGTGGCATGCCTGCTCTAAGTTTCGGTAGCGATCGTCACACTGCCGTCTGATGGGTGGCAGCATGTGGGAGATCCCTCCTCCCGCTTCCACCAAGGACCTTTGCAATAACTCTCCGTCGCCCAGGGAGGCGTTGACTTACACCCACTGAAGAGGGCTCTGCATACCACACCTGCCCACACCAAGCCACACCTGACCCCACCTGACCCCAGCTGGTCACACATGACTCCATCTGGGCACACCTGACCCCACCCGCCTGCACCTGAGCCCATCTGGCCACAGTGCTCTGGAGCCCTTCGGGGCCACTCTCCTAGGCCTTGGACGGCCCTTCGAGACAGGGAGCAGCTCAGGCATGTGCTGTGGGGCTGAGAGGAGTGTGGTTTACAGTGAGTGCCCAAGGCTGAGTTAACAAAATGCTGTTTCTGCTTTCATAGGACAGAAGAGGAGAAGGAAGAGTGGGTACAGGTGAAGCTCCTGAAGCTTTAAAGTAACCAAGGCACCTAGTTCCTGAGCAGTGTGGCCATTTCCTGCTGGAACGAAGGATTAGCAGCCCCGGGCATTGCCTGTCTGTCCGCCTTGAAATGACGGAGTGGCCAAGCTTATAAGCTCCTTTAGACAGCATGAGCCTTTCAATCCCTTTGCTTGTTTGACTCCCCAGTAAATAAAGAAACATAAAGGGCCCGGAGGTGGGCAGGCAAGGAGGTGCCCTCACCCTGGGGGTGCCCTCACCCTGGGGGTGAGTCTCTGCTATCTAGTGGCTCCACGCTGCCCTCTCTCCCGCAGGCAGGTTGAGCCGGGCGAGCAGCCTGGTTTACAGGATGGAGCCTGCGCTTCCAGGGAGCCTGGGCGGGGAGGCGGGCAGAGTCCTGGGAAGCCAGAGCAAACCCCGCCCGGGACGGCCAGGTGGGGATGCGTGGCACAGACGAGCAAAGGTCAGGAGGGCTGCGACGGAGCCACGGGGAGCCCAGAGTGGTCAAGGTCAGGCCCCAAATGCTAACTGTTAGAGACCGTGGCTTCCAAAATGTGTGGAACAAATATCTGGGCGAGAAGAGAAAAAAGAAATTCGGGGATCAAGTGGAAGTGCTGAGGCAGGAAAGGGAGATGTGGCCTCAAGCTCACATAGAACATTCCCGGAGAGCATCGGCCACGGCCTGGTGCCATGAGGGGAATCCCTGCCACCGCGGTGTGGTGCCAGACCATGAGATGGGGGTGTGAAAACCGGGAAGGCTGTGGGCCATGTTCCCGGGCCTCATTCCCTCATCTCAGAGTGGGACTCTACCTAGTGCACAAGGTCGGGGGAAACGTGATAGTGATAGGACCCTGTTTGGAGGACCCTGCTCCTTCCCGTAAGCCCGCGCTGAGGCCTTCGCTCTCTGTCTGATTCAGGTCATCGAGGCTGTCATTGAGAAGCACAGGCAGAACAGCCAGACCTTCAAGGCCTTCAGCACCTCCTTCAGCCAGGATGAGGACCGCTCCCCTACTCCAGACCCAGCCGTGAGTGCCAGAGCCCCGGGATCGTGGCAGGGAGTCTCACCTGGATGGGCATGTGGCTGCAGGGAGCCAGTGCCCCTCACAGCTGCCCAGCCTGCTACACAAGGACTGGTGTCAGGGAGGGAGCTGCCCCCCATCCCAAGTTATCCTCATGCCCAGGACGAGGGGCTGGCAGACAGGTGATGCATACTCACTGCCCACTCTCCACGGAGTACCCGCATGGGGACCACTGTGCCTGGAAGCCAGGTGGCATTCAGGCTCAGGAAGGAAGGACAGGCTTGGGCGAAGCTGCAGCATGAGGCACTGTGATCTTAGCAGCAGGGCAGCCCACTTGACCCCATGCAGAGCCCCCTGGGGCCTGGGGGTGGGGGGAGTCAGGGCTGCAACCATCCCTTGTCCCTTGGGAGCTACCTAGGGCCTTGGCCACTTCCTTTGTCTGGGCTTCAGAGTGAGGCTACCTTACTCCATGCTTCCCATCCAGGGTGTCCCTGAAGCTAATGGGTGCCCAGCCCAGCCTGGCCCAGCAGCCTGAGACCCAGACAGATGCCAGGCCTGCTGGGCTTTCAGCCTACAGGCTACCTCGGTATCCATTTAATATTTGCATCAAATCTACTTGCTGTTTTTTACTTTCTAAACTATTTTGAAAGAAAATGGGCAGGCACAGAGCTCTCCACAAGGACACCGGAGGAAGGAGCCAGAACCAAGGCTGCCTCACTGTGGGTGCTGAGATGTCAGGTGGAAGTGTGAGGTGATCCCAACATTGCACTGGACTCTGGTGTGTGGAGGGAACCTCCACTCATGCCAGCTGTCTCTGTCCCTTTCAGATGGTGAGTGCCAGCTCTGCAGAGCCTACAGTGGCAGCCGACGGTAGAGGGGACGCTGCAGGGGTGAGTGACCACCCAGCAGAAGCAGGAAGCGGAGAGTTGGGTCAGACTAGGGTGATCTGGAGGGTGAGGTCAGACCACAGTGACCTGTGTGATCCAGGTCCCCACAGTGATGATCCTTGAGCCTGTTGGTGGAGGATTGGGTGGGAGTCCTACTGGGACCTGAATGTCTATATACTCAGGTGGGTGGAGGTCCCAACTGAGTTCTAGAAACCTGAGCTCTTCACCTCATGTGAAATGTGCTGAATAAATGTGAATCAAAGCAGCTTCCAGCCTTAAAAGGCTCAATCATCCAGAGAGGAAAGGTCAGCCTGTGGACTGGGGATTCAGACAGGCACGGGCCCATCAGGAGGGCCTGCAGAGGTGCTATCAGGAAAGACTTCTTGGAGGTGGCATCTGACCAGTCTGTTGGGCCCAGGAGGGTGGAGGGAGGCTCGAAGTGCAGGCCCAAGAAGATGGGCCCAGGGAGGCGGTTGTGCCCAAGACCCCTGTCTGGAGCCTGCTCACCTTCTCTTAGCCTGGGCAGAGTGGGCAGGAGGGCACAGCCACGCTCCTTTCTGGAGCAGTGAGGAACGTCATGAAAAGCAGCTCGCACTCAAGCATCAAGCATGTAACTGCCCCAACAAACAGCAGATGGGGCCTCCACACCTCCTGTGTGCCACTCCCCTAGCTGCTCCTTTGTCTTTTGCCAGGGCCAGCATCTCCAACAACCTCCTTGACAACCCATGCCCAAAGCTCTGCCCTCCACCCCAGACAGCTTGGCTGGGGTGCTAAGCTGGACCCCACATAGGGCCCTCCACCACTCGGCTCTTGAGGGCCATGTGACCCTGTTCTTGTTGGGTGTACTCTTCCCAGGGCAAGTCCACAGGCAGCTGTAGATGGGCCTGAGTCCTAGACACAGGGAGGTGGAGTCTGTGGGCTGCATGGTCAGGGAGGCCAGGCTGGGGAGGACCCGACTCCAAGGCTGGGGAAAAGGAGCAGGAGGTGGGGCTGGTGGGCAGGGCATGTGGGGTCCCCTCAGAGAATGTTCTAGTTGGAAGAGACCTGAAGGCCATGATTTAAATATTTTAACCTGTAGAGTGGGGTCTCGGCCAGTCCTCCCCCTCTACAGCACCTTTTCTTGGGTAGGGACACGAGAGAGAAGCCATTCAGGTGCCTGTTGGTCACACTGGTGTCCCTCCAATGGGTTGCCCAGCTCCTTGGATGAGTGAGAAGGTTGGGGGTCCACCCAAGCCAGGCTTTGATCAGTAGAGCTGCTGGGTGGTGACGGCCACACTTGTCCAAGTGGATGTGCAGGCCTCCCTGCCTTCTCCTGCCCCAGTGCTCAGTCTTCCAAGGGCTCAAGGTCACAATTCAAGTTCAGGTCTCTGTCCCTGGCCCTTTACCAACCCCAAGTTGGGGCTGGGCCCCAATACAAACAAACAAACAAACAAACAAACAGCAACAGACAGCCTGCTTGGGCCTAGGTGCATGTGGCCTGGCCACATTTTCTCACAGTGTCTCCTATGAGCAGAGGGTTTGGTGTGCCCAAGGCCAGTCAGCACATGTTGAGCTCTGGCCTTGCAGGGCAAGACTCAGTAGATGTTTGTAGAAGGCACTCAAAAGTCGGTTTTAATTCTGACACCTAAAAAAGAGTGATCTTTGCTACAGCATGCCAAACATAAGCTTTTTCTTAACATATTTGGAGAGGAAAAGTAAGCCCATTCATGGGGTGCTGGCCTGATCCTGGGGTTCTCAAATGCACAGTTCCCACAAGCCCCTCTCTCCTAAGAGAAGCTAAACCCTACCCAGGAAGTCCTGCAAGGTGGCCTTGCATGGCCCAGAGCCTTCTCACACTGCTAGTCCCGTCACTCTTTGCAGGAGCATAGAAACATCACAATGCAACACCCCCTGCCCCCCTCCCCGGGCCCAGACCCACTATGGTGACACAGAGACTCCCTGGTGCTGAGTGAACTCCTACCATAACGCGCCAAACAACCTGGGCTGGCACAACGTGGGCGAGCCCTCCACCCTTCACCCACCCACCAGGGTTCCTGGAAGGAGCTGCCCGCAGGGACAGAGGGCCAGGCATGAGTGGGGCCGTGTCCGCCCACGCCTGGAGGACTCGAGGTTAGCTGACTCCACCCTCAGCGCTGGTTGTTAAGGCTGCCCTTTGGGACCTGATTCTTACTGAACGTTCTTCCCACTTCCCTGCTGTGCAACTGAATTTGCAGAAGAGAAAACACTGAGTGAAACAGCCCCCAGCCCTCAGCAGAGACCCCCTGCTGACCCACATGCATCGTCCGGGCACCTTCTGGACTCACTAGGCTGTGCTGGAAGCTCGCCCTGCACGTCCCTGGACGATGGCCCAGGCCTTTCCCTCTCTTGACATCCAAACAGAAAACATGAGCGGCTCCCTTTGATCAACCTGACAGCCTCGTCCAAAACTAAAGTACAGCTGACCAGGAAGGTGGTCCTGAGACCCTGGTGGGCTCCCTGCCCCTTGGCAACATGGTCACCCAGCCATCTGCCAATCCTGCCTGACGCTGGTGTCAGGAACTGCCTCCAGGAACTGCCTCGAAGATCTGCAGCAGTGACCACAGTGCTCAGCACCAAGGAAGCTGGCACCTGGTGGGGACGCCGTCTGAGTGCCTGGCAAAGGACATCAATGGAATACTCCTCCAAACCCCACCCCCAAGCCACTCTGCTCCAGGAACTGCCCTCTGTCCTTCTGGCCAGGATGGGGTCCCTGCTGGCCATCAGAGACCACACTTCTGGCTGCACACCCCAGCCCCACCACTGCTTCTCCTCCATCCCGGGTGGGTTGGCTCTACACCCCACCCACCCCTTGGGGACACCCTGCTGGCCCCCATGGCCTCTCTGTGTTCTCAGCGTCCATGCAGTGCTGCCCACAGGGACCCGGGAGCTGTGGTCCTGCCTTTGGACCGAGGTGCATGTCTGGGCTCACAGGCAAGACAGCGGGTCCAGCTACCCTGCTGCCAACCACTCCCATCTCCCAGGCCCTCTGTGCTCTTACCTGGAAAACAGGGACAGTGGAGTCACTCTGAAGCTCAGTGGAGGGCAGGGGCTGCCTGGCCACGGCAGACCCCCGATGGTCTTGTCTCTCCTCTTCTCCCCTTCCCTGGGCCCCAAGCCCCTCCCCTCTCTCCTCATGTCTGGCCCCCAGCAGTCCTGAGAGATGGTCTCCAAGGAAGGAGCCCTGAGTGGGGTGAGGGCTTCAGTGTCGCTGGCGGCCAAGGCCAGAGGTGGCTTTGGAGAGGACAATGTCTGTGGGAAGCATAAGTTTTGCTTATAGTGTGTGTGACACCCACTGTCCCCTTGGCAGGCCCTCTGTGGGGTAAACTGAAAGGGGCCCAGGGCTGTCTTACACCCAAGGTCCGCAGAGGAGAATCTGGGGCCTTGGGCAGAGCAGGCCTCTCCCTCACCCTCAGAGCAGCCAGCCCTGCCCCTGGGCTCCTCAAGGCAGGCTGGTGCAGGGGGCACAGTGGTGGGGCCCACGGGGGCTCAGGGGTACAGTGAGTGGAGGCCACACAGCTGGGAAATAGAGGTCAGAATTTGCACCAACATCTCAGTATTAGTCAGCTTGAGTTTCTGTAACAAAATGCCACAGACAGACATTCATTCTCTCTCCGTTCTGGAGGCTGGGTGTTCTGGAGGCTGGGTGTTCGCTCCTTGCCCCCAGGAGGGCACTCTCACATGTGTGCCCCGTGGGGAGTGCGTCCCAAGCTCCAGGGCCCAGTGAAGGACAGAGTGTGGATCGAGGGCCGCGTGGCCAGATGCTTGGTGCAGATGCCCAGTCCTTGACTAGGGGCCTCCTGCAGACCAGCCGCTGTCTCTCAGCAGGGAACCCAGGGGCTATGTTTTCAGACACAGTAGGTTAAGTCTCTGGCTTACGTGTAGGGCCAGTCACCCCAGGCACAGAGATCTGGACCCACCTAGAATCTCACTCTGTGTGACAGCCTTGTGGCCTCTGGGGAGAGGCCTAGGCAGGCCATGGCTGACGGGGCCCTGCTTCATTCCCTTCCCACATCGCTTCTTTGCTCTGCGTGTGTATTGCCCACGTATCAAGTGTGCTGAGAAGCTGACTGCACCATTTGATTCCTGTAGCTCGAGCCCAGGAGAGGGTCCTCTAAGACCAGGCGTGACAAGGAGAAACAGGGCTGCAGGAGCTGCGGTGAGACCTTCAACTCTATCACCAAGAGGAGGCACCACTGCAAGTTGTGTGGGGCGGTGAGTCCGAGCAGGTAGAGGCAGGCCCTGGGCAATCGCATCCTTGGTGCCTCCTCCCAGTCCTCTTTCTGTGATACAGACCTGGACCCTGGACCCTGGGCCCTCCAGCCACGGGGCCTCTACCCTTCCCCTTCGTCCTCTGTGTTCTGTTTCCCCTTCTTGCCTCTTCTAGGACTGTCTTTTGTCCCTGGGAGGCAGGTCACAGGTGCCCTCTGTCTGGCAGGTCATTTGTGGGAAGTGCTCTGAGTTCAAGGCAGAGAGCAGCAGGCAGAGCCGGGTCTGCCGAGAGTGCTTCCTGTCGCAGCCGGTGGTCCCTGCAAGCCCCAGCCCTGAGGCGCCTGTGGAGCCCAAGCAGTGCGTGGAGGTGGGTACCCTGGGAGCCTCTGAGACGGGAGCTCCCACCCAGCAGCCTTGGCAGTCTGCTCCTAGAGCTGCCAGCTTCCTCAGGACCAGGAGTGATCAGCTCCATGGGGTCCCCAAGTCGCTGGAGCTGCCCGCAGTGGAATGCCGAACACCACACCTATGTGTGTTGGGCTCCTCAGCATCTAGTCACAGCTAAGGGTCTGGGAACCGCTGCCACCCAGGAGTTAGATGGTATACTAGTCAGCTCAGGTTATGTGACAAATACTACAAGCAGAAATTTATTGTCTCACAGTCCTGGAGGCTGGAAGTCCAAGATCAAGGCATGGGCAGGGCTGGTTTTAACTGAGGCCTCTCCGTGGCTGGTCGGCGGACGTCTTCGCCCTGGTCCTTACACAGCTGTCTCTCTGTGTGTATCTTAATCTCCTTATAAGAACTCTAGTCATATTGGATTAGGACCCACCCCGGTGATCTCATTTTGACTTAATTACCTCCCTAAAGGGCCCATTTCCAAATATAGTCACACGGAGGGTTAGGGCTGCAACACGTGGATTTCAGGGCACACAATTCAGCTCATAGCAGATGGGAACAAGTGTCATCTTCACGCGTGACGATCGCGATCGGGGGCCTTGTGGGCAGATCCTGCCTGTGCCCGCCACTGAGGGCGGGGACAGGGCAGCGCCAGCCCCTCTTCACCTCCTGCCCTCCCGAGGATGTCTGCCAACTTTGCGACTGTCCTTTGAAGGCACAGTTCTTATTTTATGGAGTGGCAGGAAAGATGGAAAAGAGAAAATGTGGCTTTCCAAAAAACTGCAATTTTCTGTTCTCTGCGCATAACACAGCCTGTGGTTCTAAAGCCAGATTCATGCTGGGGCCTCTTGGGAAGCTGTTTATAATATTGGCCGCCCTCCCCAGATGTTGCAGGGGGAGGGCGAAGTGGGCCACAGCTGTGGCCGGAGGCCCCCCTGCGTGTCTATCATAGAGGTCAAATGGGTAAGCATGTCAGAACCAAATAGGAATGATGTCCACAGAGGAGCCCCTCTCAGGGCCCTGCACTTTCAGCACCGCATGTCTGGAAGACCCGGGTCTGAGCAGCGACCAGCTCTGCCGAGTGTGTTTGAGGTGCTTCCAAATGGCACAGACTTGTGTCCACAATTGCCCTAAACACACCAGAGAGAGGAAGGGTGTGTGTTGTGTGTGTGCGGTGGATGTGCGTGTGTAGGTGTGTATGAGTGTGAGTGTGTATGTGTGTACATGAGTGTGTGTGCATGTGTGCATGTGTGTGTGAGTGCAAATGTGTAGTGCGTGTGTATGTGTGATAATGTGTATGAGTGTGTCTATGAGTGTGAGAGTGGGTATAGCCTGTGTATGTATGTATGTGCATGTGTGTCAGTGTGTGTATATGCATGTATATGAAGGTATATGTGGGTGCGTGAGTGTGCACATATAAATGTGTATGTATGTGTATGTATGTGTATGTATGTGTGAATGTGCATGTGTATATGTAAGTGGGTATGTGTGTGTGTGCGAGCATGTACGTCAGGGGCGGGGAAACTTTTTTCTGCCAAGGGCCATTTGGATATTTATAGCATCATTTGCAGTCCATGCAAAATTATCAATTTAAAAACTAGCCTGCTATATTTGGGCAAACATTTAATTAACTCACCCCTAATGTGATGGCTGGAACTGCTTTTCTTTGGTGAGGACTTGGCAGGGCCAGACTAAATGATTTTGTGGGCCGTATACCGGTGGGCCAGATGTTCCCCACCCCTGACATACGTGTTTGTAAATGTGTGTATGTACATATGTATATATGTGTGTGTCAGTGTGAGTATGTATTGTGTGAATGTGTATGTATATATGTGCCTGTGCCTGTGCATGTGCAGGCATGTATGTGTGAATGTGTGGGGTGTATGGGTGTGCATGTGTATTAGCATGTGTGTGAGTGTGTACATGAGTGTGTGTGTGGTCAACCAATGGTTGTCACCAATTCAGTACCAACAGGAACCCCCAATTTAGGGTACACTGAAGAAGGAAACTTCATTCAGTGCAAACAGGTCAATTGTGACACAGCACAGCTATAAATACAGTATGCGGATGAAAACAGCAGGGCTATTCCTACTGAGGGGCGGCTCTGAGGCCCGGTGGCCCTGGGGCCAGGCCCCTCTCTGGCTAGACAGCGGGCCTCTTCTCTGTGCCAGTCCACCCTGGCCTGCAGTTTAGCTCAGCACTTCCAGCCTTCGGTGGAAAGGGAAGTGCACTCCTGGAACCTAGGGAAGCTGGCTTACATGGACAAAACTCCCAGGCCCTGGTCCCTGATTGGCCTGTCCTCATGCAAATAAGGACTGCAAATCCTTGCAGTTTGGTTGGTCCAAAAGGCACCGGCCTGGCTGGTCAGAATAGACTCGCTCTGGTTGGACAGAGTTTCGCAGCTCTGATTGGATGGGGACAGCCTCAGTCCTGCTGGCTGACACTGAACTCCAGGAGCTGCTTTATGAGGGCTGCTCAGGAGCAGGAACACTCAGGCTGGCGGTTCAGTGCACACCTCTCCCTGTGCGGAAATGGCTGCTAGGCTCTGTTTTTTTTGTTGCTGTTATTGTTGCTGCTTTAAATTTGAGCCCAGTTGGCCACCAGGAGCTCTTCTTAGTAGTGTCTTCTTTCTCAAGGTCCACAGTGTGTGAGTGTGTGTGTGTGTGTGTGTACAGCTGAACCACTCCCACCCTTCCCCAGTGAGCCCCACTCTGGCTCTTGCTGTTTCATTTTTTCCTGTTTTATATCTATCCTGACCCCACTGGTGGCTTCATTCCCTAGGGGGTGCAGCCCAATCCAAGTGGCCTTGCAGTGACCCTAGAAAGGGTCAGCTGGCCCTTGTCCAGTTCATCTTCCCCTCCCCCCTCAGTCCCTGGAGGCAGCCTTGGTGTCCTCCATGAGAGTGGCATCTGCAGGAAGACTGCACTTGACCCAACCTCTGTGTCTCCAGAAGCCAGTCTCTGGACCCCCGCCCAGCCTGCTCTGTGGCCCTCTTTGGGTATCAGATGGTGGCATGGCCTGGAATAAGGTACGGGCTGCCATCCCCACATCGGACCTTCTGAAACGTGCTGTGCTAGGAGTCTGCCAGCTTCTGCAGTTCAGAGCCGCAGGCCCATTTGCCCTGAGGAGCCCAGGCCATGCCGCCTGGGACCAAACCCTTTGGAGGTGGCTCACATGACCTTGGGGCCTCAGTTTCCTGGCTGCCCAGAGTCACTCCTCTGCTGCCCACTTGTGGGCGATGATATTTGGTGATGCCAGGACTCCAGAGGCCAGGTGCTGACTCTTCTCTCCTGTGCTGCAGGACAGTGGGCCCCGCGCCACCCCGCTCTCTGCCTGCCAGGTGAGTGTGCAGAACCTGGCCGAGAGGCTGGGTGCTGAGCACATGTGACAGCTGCAGCAGGCCCAGCAGGCCGAGCACCCCATCCACCGAGCTGCAGCAGTGGTGACTGAAAACCCTGAGTGTGGTCATCCATGGGGAGCTGGCCCAGGCCAGCCCAGGGGCCCTGAAACCCCAGGCCTTGGAGGACCCATGAGTTGAGTCTTGGCCAGATCCCTGGCTCTGTAGCGCCACAGCAGGCAGGGCCTGTGCTCACCTGGGAGGTGGCCGCAGAGGTGAAATGTACCCTGACTACTGAGAGACGCACAGGCCACAGGCCACTTGGCCCTGGAGGGTCCTTCTGCTTCAAGAGGAGGAAACTGAAGCCCAGAGAGGGTGACCACCTGTCCAGGGTCACCTAGCACATCTCAGGGAAGAGGCCAGCCTCCACCCTCAGGCCCAGTAGCGTGGCTCAGAGGGGGAACCAAGGTGACTGTCAAGTAAACCCCATCTGTGGGGGCTCTGGAAGGCAGAAGGAATGTCATGGACAGTGCCCAGGGACACCTGGTGGACGTCTACAGTCATGCCATCCCTCCTGGCTGCATCCGCCTGTCATCTACACCACGTGAGCTGAACCATGACCAGTCCCCAGACTCGAGATCCTTCTGTGCACACCTGGCTACTGGGCACCCCATTGCCCCCACATTCCCTTGAAGCCCACCTCCTTGTGTGGAGCCACTCACAGGACAGGGTGGGTGGTGGGCCTAGGACAATCAGGAGGGACTCGCTGTTCCTGAATAACCTCATTGAGAAACTTGAAGGGAAACCCACCCCAATGTCAATGGGCACCTGAGAGTTGTTCCTGGAGGGTAGTGGGCAGAGCTTGTCTGCGTAAATAAATGCAGCCAGCAGGTGAGCACAATCTCGGTTTAGGGTCTCCCCAAGTGGGAGGGGTTGGGGGGTCCAGGTTGACAGAGGACCCAGTGACCGAGGCCTGTGGGTGTAAGTAGCTGTACCTGGTCATGCTGGTGAGGTGGACATGGCCACGTGTTGTGTGCAGAGAGGTGCTGGGGTGCAGACATTCACAAAGAAGTTAGGAGGGTCACAGTTGGGGCATCCTATTTACACCAGCGCTCCAAGGGCCTCAGAAGAGAGAGAGGACAGATTTAGGGACTGATGATGAAAGGGACCCCCATCCCTCTAACATCCGCATGCACCCTGTGGGGATGCCTGTCATTGCCCAGCCATGGGCACACTCTCCGGGAGCCTATCTAAGGTGCTGAGAGAGGAACGTAGGAGCCAGGAATGGGCACCTGATCATGGGTGAGGTAGGGGCAAGGCACTGAGGTGGGATACATGTGATGTAGGGGCCCAGGTGAAGTGGAAGTGGGTCCAGGGGAGGTGGAGGTGGGACCCAGATGAAGGGGACAGGGCACAAGTGAGGTAACAGCCCTGGTGAGGTGGGTATGGGCTCAGGTAAGGTGGGACACAAGTGAGGTAGACAGGGCACAGATGAGCTTATGCATGTCTAGTGCTCTTATGTGGGCCCACCTGTTGTATGTCTGGGCCTGGTCCCGAGTCCATGAGCATTCACCACCTTGCAGGGATGTTTGGCCTTGCTTGGCATCAAGGACTTGCCCACTGGGACAGGGGCCAGCCACTTCTAGCCCTGCCCAGGCTCCTGTAAATGCAGAAGAAATGGCACAGCCTCTCATCCATGGGTGGGGGCAGGGACAATGGGGGACAGAGGCCCACACTAAGACAGTCTCACCACAACCCCAGGATGTTCCCACTCGACAGCTGAGGAAACTGAGTCACATAGAGGAGGCCATGAGAGTCCAACAGCTTCACACTGAGCGGAAAGCTGGAATTGACACACCTGGGCCTGGCAGCACTCGGCTGGGGTCTGCGAGGCAAGACTGGAGGCCCCCACAGCTGGTCTCCCAGGGAGCTCTTGCACCATGGAAGGCCCAACCCTCTCATCTCTGCCCATCAGCCTGCCCCCAACCCCCACCCTGCACACAGGTTTCCGCAGTGATCTCAGGGGGCCCTTTCCTCCGTACACGGGAGGACGGGCAGTGAGGCACAGCTGGGGTCCCCCAGGACGTTACATTCCGTCAGGGTCCATAGATTGTGTCCTGTCTGGCCCAGCCTCAAGGTGGGTACGAGAGGCCTCCCCACGGGCTGTGGCTGCAGCAGGGTGAAGAAGGACACCCTCCTGCTGATTCCGGACAGTCCTGGCCCCAAGCTGCTGCCCTTTTCACGTGAGACATTGCTGTGTTCTGGGTTTGGGAGGAACAAAAGCAGGGAAGGGGAAGGGGGCCTGGCAAGGGGCAGATCTCTGGAAGTCCCCCTCCCCAAGAGGCCCCAGGCCAGGGCAGGGCCACTAAGACCTGGGAGGGCCAGTGGGGAGAGCAGTGTGGACTGAGGGAAAGCCGGGCCTGGTCCTGGGATCTCCACCAGGGATCTCCCCTTTAGCATTGCTGGGGGTGGGGGCGGGCGGGGGACTGTAAGCACTGGGGTGGCCTTGGGGCTGCAATGAGTAGAGGTGGAGACAGGATCCCACACCCTCAGCAGGTGTTGACACAGACTCATGCAACAGGCACCCAGAGGGTGGCAACCAAGGCAAAGTGGGGACACCACCCACCAACTGTTCCTACACAAGAAGCTTTTCAAGATATGAAATAAACTCAGTTGTTCTTATGAAATATCCTGACAGATATTAGCAACTATTGCAAAATCTGAAGTCTTGGGGTGGGCAGCTGCTGGGCATCTGGAAAGCAGGGACAGGGTGGTCCCCCCAGGGTGGACACTGAGCCCAAGGGCCCATGCACATGGACAGCTAACATCTGACTCCTTTTGGATGCAGGCTGTTGTCCCCACTTTTTCCAGAAGTGGAAGCTGAGGCTCAGAGGGGCAGTGAAGGGCTTCAGCCACACAGGGCCCTGTGCTGCTCCCTTTGGAGGCTGACCTGCCTAAGGTCTGTCTCTAGGAACCTCTAGTTGGAGGCATCTGCCCAGTCCCATTCCCGCTGGACAGGAAGGGCTGCGAGGAGTAGGCTTCCCACTCCGGGGCTCAACACATTGCCCACTTCATGGGCTCTCACTCATCCTGAACCCACAGGAGTCAGGGGCTTGAGGCACGGGTCTTCTGTACCCCCAGGGGCTGCTGCCTGCCCAGCCTGCAGGCCAGGTAACCCCCCTGTTGGCAAGCCCAGGAGCTGTGGTGGGACCTAGTGTGCACCTGAGCAGAAGGATTTCTACAGGAGCGAGTAGAGATGAAAGCAAGGAGACGATGAGGTGTGAGCGACCTGTGTGGTGGCCGGAGCCCAGGCTCTGGTCATGGGTTCCAGGGGGCTGCTGACCTACCCACCTGGGGAAAACATATCCTCACTGGGCCCAGAGCAGGTGCTGGTCATGTCCTCCACAGTCCTGGGAAGAGGGCTGAAAAGAATTATGACCCAGAGAGCATCTTGCAGTAGTGACACTGAGGCCCCGAGATCAGACAGTGACTCAGGGGCCCAGCAGGAGTCTCTTGTCCGCTCTTCATCCATTTGTTAACTCTGCGGGCACTAGGGGGCCGGCCACTTGGTTTCCGGGAGTGGGGGGTTCAGGTGACCCCCTGGAGCCTCTGGCCTTGGTCACCCTCCCAGCGTTGTTTTCTCCTGCCCCCTCCGGACCCCAGGTGACCAGGTCTGGCCAGTGGGCCTTCGGAACACACTAGCTCCTTGCCACCTCAGGACCCTTGCACGTGCTGTTGTTTTGCTCTTCCTGTAGGTCTTTGCAAGACTGCCTGGTGCCATCTCCACAGAGAGCCCTTGCTCTAGTCTCTCTACTTTGCGTTTGGGTGTTTGCCCTCTGTTTCCCCTCTCCCATCTAGAACAGAAGCTCTGAGGGCAGGAGGCAGCACCTACAACAGTGTCTGGCATACAGAAGGTGCTCAGTTAATATCTGCCAGCAGCCTTGTGCGACCCCTGAGCACTTCGGGCCTAGCATCCTCACTTTACAGATGGGGAAATAAAGGCTCACAGAGAGGTGGTGGCTGCCTGGGGTTGTAAAGGCCCAGTGTTCCCTTGACTCCCTGAGGTCCCCAGGCCTCAGGGACCCATAGCCTGTTCGTCCTCAGACTTCTGGTCCCATTGCAGAGATCAGCACAATGAGAGCCAGAGGAGCTGCCACACCCCAGAACACTAGCAGGGGGGCATTTGGACCCATGTGGGTTTGACCTGAAGCTGTGCCCATCCACCACCCTCCCAGGGGACACCAAGTCACCACTGTGCACAGTGAGGTGTCAGGATCAGCCCCCTAAAGTCCCAACTTATCCTAGGTCCCAGAACCCAGGCCTTAGGGACTTGAGCACTTGCCCCTCCCCCAGCTGCTAGAGAAGGAGGCCCCTCTCAAGGAGAGTCTGACTGGGCCTGGGAATCCAAATTCCTCTGAACAACCAGTCCTGGGAGGAGGGAGGGCTTGCCTTGCCCCAGAGTTGCTTGGAACATGTCTTCAGACATGTTTCTACTGGATGATCTCTTGGGGGGGGGGGAGGCCAACTGCCAACTGTGAATCCTAAGGAGCTTCAGGTGGACCTGAGGGGCTTCAGGTGGTCTCAAGAAGCTCCAGGTAGTCCAAAGGGGTCCCAGATGGTCCCAAGAGGCTCCAGGTGGTCTCAGGTGGACCTGAGGGGCTCCAGGTGGTCCTGCAGGGGCTCCTGGCAGTCTCAAGGGGCTCTAGGTGGTTCCAAGGGCTTCAGGTAGTCCCTGAAGGGCTCCAGGAGGTCCTGAGGGAGCCTGCTATTCCCTTTTCACACACTCTCTCCCACCAGCACCACTTTCCCATTTACAAGGGGGAACCTGAAGGCTGAGGGTGAACAGCCCCACTCACATCTGTCCATGCCCTCCTGGCCACCCACTCTCTCCCCTAACTGGATGAACTTCTGGCCTCAGTGCCTTGCTCCTAGGTGCAAAGCTCTGATGGAGCCCCTCAGCCACAGGAGGCGTGACCCCAGCACCCGTACCTCCTCCTGACTTGCCATTCCTTTTCCTCAAAACCCAGGTGTGCTCAGGCCCCTGTCTGCTGGGCCTTGGTGGCACCCCTGGTGGAAGCGTCCCGAGGGTCCCTGAGATGGTGGCACACCTATGCTTTTCCCTCAGCCTTGTCCCACACTCCTAATGCCCAAACCCCACTGCACCCTACCCCTGTCCAATGCTGGCTCCTTTGACCGGCAGGGCCGAAGACGAGAGGCCTTTTCTGGGAATTGCCTGCCTTGGCACTATCTCCCCACCTGAATCCGGGATGGCAGCACCTCGGATAGGACCTCCCCTCTGCTATCAGGGCCAGGCTTACCTGGGAGCCCAGTTTTCAGGGCTCCAGCTCTGCCCTGTAAATGCCACATACTTCCTGTACACCCATCCTGCACCAGAGCTCCGCTGCCCAGCCTCAGCAAAGTTCAGAGAGCAAATGACACCCCCAAAACAACTTCTGCCCCCAAAGGGGAATCAGAAAACTAGTGACAACTGAGCAGCCCATCCACTTCTA